TATGACTTAAGCTTTGCTGATGCATGTATATAAAGCAAGTCTAAAAATTTATGCCACAAAAATGAGCAAGAAATGGCATACACTTTTCTTTTGTTTTGCTGTATAAACTACCCAGACACTAAGACTTTTGCGTAGGTATTAAAAGAGACTATGCATACACATTGTTACTTATTTTTATTTCCTAATTAACAAGACACTGTGCCTTTGAACTGCTGCCTAATCTTACCAGGTCTTTAATAGCAGACATTAACCAAAACTGTTGCTATCTAGGTTTAAGAATGGGTTAGGAAATGGGTTGGAAATGATGAAGTTTGGAAATGCCTTGCTTCCCTGCTGTTTGGAAGCAGGAGATAAGAGAATTAATATCCTTGCCAGTAACGTGCTCATTCTTCACATCAGCCCACCATCGCCTGCTTTGCTCACAAAACAAGACTGGTAACATTTATGCCAGTAAAAACCACTCCGTTCCTTTGCACAGAAACTGGAGTCAGAAAATCAAGGACAGAACAGCAAAGGTCAAATGAAGGGTAAGGGAAATTGGGGAAGGAGATGGCAGCAATAAACACAATAGATCAGTACGTATTAGCTACAGTGTTCCTTCCTGTGCCAATCCAAGATAAGGATGGCACAATTATGCTCCTCTAGTAAGATCATTCTTCAAATTTCCCATTAAAATCTAAATCTATTGAGATTCTTTGTCTGGAAAACATTTCCACTTACTGCTGCTAGGATGAGGGAAGCAGGACCAGAGCAGAATGGCTCGGCATTGATGGAGCCAGTCATTAAGGAGATGTGATACACTGGCTGAACAAGAAAAAAATACTGGTTTGTGTTTATCTTTTATAAAACAAAAATAAATGCAGTCATTGCAATGACATAATGTTTGAAGGCAGCAGGATCCTCCCCAGTCAGTTTGATTAATACCTCAAGAACATGCCACCGTCAGCAGCAGAACGCTAGAATTGAATATTTGCAGATGACATATTGTCAAGAGTGTTAATTCAGTCAACCTTTATTTATACAGGTTAGTCCCACTGAGCCTCGATGACTCATTTACAAGAGAGACCTGATTTTAATAAAGAAGGATGACAACAATCATAAAAGAAAGCACACAAATTGAGAAGAACAAATGGAAGAAAATGGTAAAAAAAAAATAAACGAAAACAGCTACATTGTAAAGCAGTAGAATACTAAAAACAAGAACACGACTGCGTTGGTTTTTCCCAGGAACTTAGCAGATGTTTGAAGCAACTTAGAGATAGGAGAAGGACCTTTTGTCTAGTTCAGTCTGCACTGAGGGAACACTACATGTAAAATCCTTGTTTCATGTAAAATCCATGTTAAATCCTGGTTAAGGGCTGATGTGGATGAGAATAATGTGGAATGATTCTTCTTTAGGCTAATAAAACAAAAATAGGAAGAATAACTCCAAATTCATTGTGTTGATGACAGTTTTCCCCACAGATATCTTCAAAACCTCAACAAGCCACATAAGCGCTGTCATCATCAGTGGTATTATACTGGTGCTTTGCCTGCTCGGTCTCTGGGGACTTTTCTGCCTCTCACTTTGGCCTTCCCTGTTTTATTGCTCTTATCTGCAGTCAGTCTCACCACCATGCCTAACACAAATACCAGTAGCAGTAAAAACACTGTATTTTTTTAATCTTTAAATGAGCTACATTAAGGGTATTTAGATGTATCAGTCAGATTTTGGCACAACCATTTTATTGTGTCATGCTGTTTTACCCCCAACAGTGTAAATGTTTTACAGCCTGCACACTATCTCGTGTTTTGGAGCTCATAAAATGCTAAAAGAGGCTGGGACAGACTTGTGTGAATTGGGTAGGAGTTAGGCATCTGTTGAGAATAGACTATAGGCAATAACATTTTAATGCCTCATTCATTCTCTGGTATTGATCAGACTATCAATCTGATTTTACTTTCCTCTCTTGTCTGAGTAAGACACCTAAACAAGGAAAGTTCATGCTCAATAATCCAGGTACAAATCTAACAATGTTCCATCAGGTTATCTGGATGGTTTACTTTTTTACTGAGATGTTTCATCCCTCATCCTTGTTTTGGATCATTTTGGTATGACTGCCCCAGAGGAGTTGGCCATCTTATCTTCAGCAAATTGTCTTTTTCCACTATGGGAGTGTGGTATTTGTGGGACTCCAGTTTGTTTGTGGCTTCTCAGACTGAAGATGAAGGACAAAATGTCTCAGCAAAAAAAAAGAAAAAAAAGAAATCGTCCTTATGACCTGACTGAACATTGTTGGATTTGTACCTGGATTATTGAGCATAAACTTTGGTGTTTTGAACCATTTGGCATGACTGTCCCAGAGGAGTTGATGGATGAAAGGGCAGGCCCCAGAAACCATCTTATCACCAGCAAAATGTTTGTTTTTTTCCCACTATGGGAGTGTGGTATGTGTGGGCATCCAGGTTGTTTGTGGCTCCTCAGACTGAAGAAGTCCTTCTGATGAAGGATGAAATGTCTCAGCAAAAAAAAAAAAAAACATCCAGATGACCTGACTGAACATTGTTACACCTAAACAAGCTTGTTAGCGACGCAAACTTTGTTTTCTATTTCACATACAAATTATTTTACAAACTACAGATTTATACAAAATAAACCAGTTAAAAATACACTATTGGTTGCTTTTCTAATTTCTCTTTGCAAACATGTAGCTTTTAGAAATTTGAAACTTTGAAAGTGTTCTTTTACAAGGTTTAACTCCTTTAAAACAATTGTCTCCAGCGACTCATGCACAAAGGCACACAGTGAAATAAACAAACCTTTAGTATCAAGGAAGCTTCACCTTTAAAATACTAAAAATGATTTGGTGATCTGTAGAAATGTTTGAAAATCCCATTGTGATGAAATAGTTTTGTATTCAGAGAATTGGTCTTCCTCTTTTTTCCTCATCACATCACGTTTCAACAAAGTTCACTTCATTGTCAAGATTGCATCTTTCCCAGAAAATCATTTTCTCTGTAGTGAAATGCAAAAATGTTTCAGGTGAATCTTAATTAAATTACACTTTCTCCTATGAGTTTTGCATCAGAAATGTGTAACTCAATGCACCAAAACACATTTGGCATTTCCGTATTATGCCTCAGTCGTAGTGAAACAGGCGGCCTAAATGAGTATGCTTGAACGGAAAATAGTTGCATGCAAATGCACAAAACAGTGACCAAATCTGTGATCTCATCAGCCATACAGTTGCAGCTGACACATTAAATCGGCACAGCTTTTTTTTTCCTGGGAGCTCTTCTGATTCATCCAGCGCTCTCAAAATCGTCAGTTTCTGCCTAACAGCAATCACTCACGATCCAATCAGCACAACCAAAATGTAGAAAAACTGCAGTCAACCCTCTTTGGGTCTAATCAGTGGAGGAGTCCCAGCCCATTGAATGACTGGGACTGGATGAGCTTGCCCTCCCCTGCAGCTGACACATCTCTGATTACAGACTTCGTCAGCATAACCACAGTTCTTGTGCTAATGCACAGTTTTTAAATATTCTCACTTTGAGAGAATGAGATCAGTTTAAGGGAGAGAGAAAGTTATGTTTCAGGCCCTCTACAGATTTTTTTCATGACTTCTGGAAAAATAAATACTATAACCTAATTCAATATAAAAGACGAAGACCAAAAAAGGTCAAAAAACACAAGCTGAAGGTTTGAATGGAAAATTTGTAGCTCTTTACAAAACATGTGCTTTTGGACGTTTGTGCATCTGTTTTTGTGGGACAGTTTAAACCCATCATGTCAGTGTTTGTGTGTTTTTCTCACCAGCAGCAGCAGCAAAACCATGTCTGCATGGTCACATGCACACGCTACATGCAGAGCCGTCCACAGGTCTTCGTCTTGCAGGTTTACATTCAGGCCTCGCTCCATCAGAAGCTCTGCTGCAAACACATTATCATGGCGAGCACACTGCAGAGAGCAGAGATGGAGAAATACTGTACATTTTTAGCTGTTCCTCTTAATATTACCAGTGCAAATGAATAATCACAGAGTAATTAATACATGTGGCATAATGATTAATTTATATACAAATCTATTATGCAGTATTAGTGATAATTGTGTGAAAGTTTATGAAGCATTCATTTTGTGATCCATTTCTCTTCCGTACATTTTTCGGCATGTTTCTCGTTTTGTGCCAATTCAACAAAACATATATCAAAACGTTCAGCTCGTTCACGAGAAGGGTGCTATGCCTTTTGGAATTGCTGCAACTTTAGCTTTATGAAATATTTAGCCTTTTTTGCCACTTTTTTTCTTATAGAAACTGAATTGAGCTCATTTTACTTCCTTGAAATCTTTAGATCTGCTTACAACCTTTTACTGCTCCTTTCACTTATTTCTGGTTTAGCTTCTTTCAGCTGCCTTGTGCAAATAAAATAAAAAAAAACTACTTTCAGCTAATTGGAGCTGTTTTGTGCTCCTTTCTGCTTTATTCTGCTATCTACAAAATTTTTGTGCTTTGTCTAACTTCTTTCTGCTAATTTCAGCTTGTTATGCTTCTTTCAACTTAATTCTGTTTTTCAACTATTTCTGCTATTTCAGCTACTATTAAGCTGTTTTTATGCTAATTTGAGCTTTTCAGCTAATTCTACATTGTTTGCACTACTTTAAACCTTTTCCATCCTAATTCAGCAAAAAATGTGCCCACTTCACTTCATTCTGGTACTTCTTTCTGCTTTTTAAGCTACTATTTAGCTGTTTTTGGCAAATGTCTGCTTTTTTCAGATCATTTCTACTTTTATTGTGCTAATTTCTGCTCCATTAAGCGTAATTGGCACAACTGTGCTCTCTCCACTTTCTTCTGGTAATTGAAGCTTCTTTCTGCCTTCTCAGCTACTTTGCAGCATTTTTTTTTCCCAGATTTCAGCTTTTTTAGCAAATTTACTATTTTTCCGCAATTTTTTTCTTATTTAAACCACATTCAGCAACTATATGTTCTTTATGCTTTCTTTTGCTAACTTAGGCTTGTTCTTCCATTTCAGCTACATTTTAGCATGTTTTTTTTTAGCTAATTTCAGCTGTTTTTCAGCAAGTTCTTCAGCAATAAGCGTTCACACTGCATTTTCGAAGGAAATGCAATTCTCTAATTATATTCTTATTTTTCTACAGAATATGACAGAAAAATGTACTGAGGGGGCAGACACCACTAAATATAATTAACTGAAGACCAATTTAAGGACAAAGCATTATTTTTATGTGTTTGAGTTTATACTTAAGCAATAAAAAATGAAAGAACATCCATCTCCCTGCGTTAGAAAGCATCAAGAGGATCTTACCAGGTGCAACAAGGATCCCCCTGAGGAAATAGGCGTGTTGGGGTCTGCTCCTTCCTTTAGGTGACGCAGCACTGCATCACAACAAACATCCAGATGTTAACGCTTGAAATGTGTGAAAAAGTTGTGTACTTAAGAATGGTGGAAACAGACTCATACACAGACATAAACACACACTGATCTCTGCCTCTCACTGTCAAAATCAATAAGTGTTAAGTGTCCTGATCTTGGTGCATCAGTGTGGATCAGTATTTAGCCTGTGTGTGTGTTTCACAGCACTCAATTCCTGCAGCAGGTCAGAAAGCCACCTGGTTATCCACATCAGACACTAACACACTGACACAGATCCACGGAAGAAAATCGAAACCGTTCCAAACGTTTGCACATTCAGCCATAAACAGATGAGCAGAGAGTTGTTGTCTGAACGAGGCCTCAGCAAATCTGCTACACTGATGCATTTTTCATGGAGCAAGTGCAAAGACAGCAAACAGTGAGAGAGACTGGGGAGGAGAGAGTGTGACAAAATAAATGGAGAGTGACGGACAAACATGTGAAGGTTAGGGGAGGGAGGTAGAGCGCTGTCATCGAAACATTTAGTTGACTTTGGGGACACTGATACTACGACAGGGTTGCTGCTGTCACACAATTTCATCAACGCAGACTAAATATGAACTATACACAAGTTTGTCTTTGAACAAACCAGTGGCTCTGTGTAAAGCAGCTAAAGTAAATAAATATATTGAACCCTGATGATAACTCCTTTGAGATTATTTAACATGTACAAACAATATTAAAGAGCCTAATCTTATCCACACATATACATGAAATGTGAACACAGTCTGAACATGTGTTCAAAGACGAACAAGATCTGACATAAAAACATCTACTAATCTAAATGTTTCAAAATGCAGGAACTAAAAACATTTTTTACTGTCATGTATAAATATGCACGCATGCTACGTAATACATAATAAAAACATAATGACTGACCTAATATTGATTTGCAATCACTTGTTTAACTGAACAGTCCTTGTATACACTCTCAGTAACAAGAAAACAAGCGACTCTGTATATGAGTCATTATTCATCAGTTTGTCACGCAAGCAGAAATCCACACTGTGCTTTAGCATGGTTCAATAAATTGTAAAAGAATAGCTGCGTGGACAAACATCCAGTTCAACCACAACACTCTTCTGCAACACAGATTTAATACAACAGGGCTGCCTTCGTATTTACTTTATGCACTTTAGTAATACACAAAAATATACATGCAAAGTACAACTGGCCCTCAAATAGATCCTTGTTGATGAAGTCCTTTGGATGAAAAACAAAACATCTAAAAGAAAAAAGAAAAAGAAAGAAACGGTCCAGATGACCTGACTGAACTTGGTTGGATTTTCTACCTGCATTGTTGAGCATGAACTTTGATGTTTTGAACCGCTTTGCCTATGGCTGCCTCAGAGGAGTTGACGGGGGAGAGGGCGGGCTCCAGAAACCATCTTATCACCATCAGACTGGTTGGTCCACTATGTGGGTGCGCTGCTTGTGGGACTGAGTTTGTTTAAGTGTGGCTCCTTGGATTGATGAAGTCCTTTTCATGAAGGATGAAACGTCTCAACAACAACATCAAAAGAAAGAAACCGTCCAGATGACCAGTTCCCCACAACCCTGAACATGAACAAGTAGGTCAACTATGGCTGGAATCTGATTACATGTGGTAGTGTATTTTTAGTTTATTTATTTATTTCTACTGCATGTTAAATCAAAAGTGAGTAAAGATTGTTTTTATGTTAAACCTGCAGGGAATGCTTTATTGGCTTAAGATAGATTATATTCACTGTAAAGCGTTTACCTTTTCCCACAGCAGCAGCAGTAATTTGAAATCAATTCTGTTTTAGGTCAGTTTTTCATTGAAGATTATGCTGATCTAAGGCTTCAGTGTGTTTCTAAATATGTGATATTTTTAAATGCAAAGGCTGCAGATAAACACAAAAAACAGTGCAAAGATAAGTTTTTTTTTTTTTTGGGGGGGGGTGTGTGGAAATTTTTGAATGGTAAATGGACTGTACTTATATAGCACCTTTCTATCTATTCAAGATACTCAAAGCGCTTTACACTACAATCTGTGTCCTCATTTACCCATTCATACAGCACTCTACTAGATCTCTACAAAGCTAATTGAACAAATCATTCTAAAGAGACTAATTGACTCAAAATTACAAGTAAATTGCAAGAAAAGATGTGAGTTTTCAGTTGGAGTCTCCCTAAATTCTGAATACAACTAGTGAATCATACAGCTCCCTTTTGTGCAGCCAGTTTTTGGTAACTGCAGCCTATTTTTGTGTGCATTGCTTACAAAACTAGTTCAGGCTGTGCACATTATTTTGTTGCCCACCTCTGCCCACAATGTACCTGCCTTGGCCCATTTCTTACACACCTTGGCAGACAAAAAGGTGTGTACAGTTCACTTCAGACTTAGACATATATTTAATATTATTCATCAATTGGGTGATTGGACCTCAACATTTTTGGCTATTGCAACAAATGTTTTTTGTCAAAAGGATAGCCCTGTGCAGGTATCAAAATATTGCTCTAGCTCTCAAAATCACAGAAACTAAAATGATAAAAGTTTGAGATGCATTTATTAACCTTTATTTAACCAGGCAAATCCCATTGAGATCACATATCTCTTCTGCAAGGGAAGTCTGGGCCTGACATGCATGCACAAACCATGTGACTATTATAATTTAAATTTTGTCCATTCATTTGCACATGCATAGTTTCAGTTTAAAGAATCCCTTGTGAATGGTGTTCACCAACTAGTCGCCACCAATCACCGTCTAGCGGAACTGTGTTAAAACCTTGTGGTTGAAACAAAGCTTCACTTCATGCAGATGAAGACTGTTAAAATTAATTGTTTTTCATAGAAACGGTATTTAAACTGTACCAATATCCATGTACCTGACAACTTGGTTCATCTTTAAACATAAACTAATACAATGATTTATATTGCAAATGCAGTAATAAATCATTTGATATGTTTCTTCTAGTATGCCAAGTTATTGTTCTGTATGAATCTAATGGAATCCATGCGATGAAAGCCATATGAAGATGTCTTACAGCATTATTGCTATTTTTCCATAACATCCAGACTTTCTCCCCAGGCAATATTCTTCAGGACCTCAATATTAAATTTGACTCAAACTCTACCATCTTATAAATGCTGTGTATTTTTGGTTGTTATCACACAGGAATGGACAAAAAAGATGACTGTCTCACAAACTTGCCTTTTATTTATATATTAGCATGCAAAGCCAAACTTCTGAAGGGATGTCATGAAACAAACCATTGGGGTTAACTTTTAAGCTTAAATAAACACCAACTCCATAAAAAAAAATGGTGTTCTAGTCAATCTGAAGTCTGTGGATACATCTCCAGAAAAGACATTTCATGAAGCAGCAATTGGAATTTTTGTAAAAGTGTAATAAAATACATATTGTGCTCTTTTTTCTCTTTCTATTCTTTAGGCACAGGCCCAATTATGTCAGAAACACAGCAGACATCTGATATACCTTAAGTCTGGTGCATCTAAGAGAAATGCTTGTATTTACCTCCATGTTTCCTCCCTGCACAATAACTGTCTGAAGCCATGCAGGTCCCAGTGCACCCCAGAAGAATAAAAATATTACCTCTACTTACAATAAAGTCCATGCTCAATAATCCAGGTATACAATCCAAAAATTTTCAGTCAGGTCATCTGGACAGTTTCTTTTTTGTGTGCTGAAACGTTTTGCCTTCGGTCCGGAAGGCTTCATCAGCCAAGGAAACACACAACAAAACTAATTCTTCCCCCAACCCCTTACTCCAAAGTGGAACAAACCAGTTTTGCTTGTGATAAGATGGTCTCTTTGGTACGCCTCCTCCTCCATTGCCGGCCCTCTTCCTTGTTGACAGTCTTGTCAAACTGGTTGAAAACAATAAAGTCCATGCTCAATAATCGAAACCTTTCAGCACCAAAAAAAAAAGAAACTGTCCAGATGACCTGACTGAAAAATGTTGGATTGTATACCTGGATTATTGAGCATGAACTTTATTGTTTTCAACCAGTTTGACAAGACTGTCAACAAGGAAGAGGGCTGGCAATGAAGGAGGAGGCGTACTAAAGAGACCATCTTATCACAAGCAAAACTGGTTTGTTCCACTTTGGAATAAGCGGTTTGGGGAAGAATCAGTTTTGTTGTGTGTTTCCTTGACTGATGAAGCCTTCCGGACCAAAGGCGAAATGTTTCAGCACCAAAAAAGAAACTGTCCAGATGACCTGACTGAAAAATGTTGGATACCTCTACTTACTTTACCTTCCCGTCTGTTTAGAGCCCGAGCACCTGGATGATCATTTTATACACGATAAATCAAGAGTGCAGTGAACTCTTAATGCAGATGCATGGTTGCACAAACACTAAACAAAACCTACAATCATGGATTTTTTTATTTATTTTAAAAGATGCACACTGACCTGCCAGACAACACAAGCAGATGGAAAAATAACTGGATAAGTAAGGTTGGGACTTGTGTAAATTCCCAGTAACAATATTTTTTTTTTATCTCGGATCACAAGCAGAACAATAAATGTCTTTATGATTGTGCTGCAGAGGTGCTGTCTTAGCCAGTGATACAGTATTTGGGTTTTAGCATAAGAAAGGTGCTAAAATGTCAAAATAATATCAATAATATATAAAAAATACAACGTTAAAGACATAAGAAGTAATGTTCCAGTTTTTAATGTATTTTCTAGCTATTCTTTAAATGTTTATTTAAATCATTTCTCTTTTGGCTAAGTTGGCTGTTGACTATGAGGAGAACACTGATGTAGTTGATGTTAATTATGTGCATTATATATATATATATATATATATATATGGTAAATGGACTGTACTTGTATAGCACCTTTCTATCTTATCAAGATACTCAAAGCACTTTACATTACAATCTGTGTCCTCATTTACCCATTCATACAGCACTCTACTAGATCTCTACAAAAGCTAATTGAACAAATCATTCTAAAGATACTAATCAG